GAAATGATTTTTTTTAATGTTTATGTGACAGCAAAATCAGTTTTTACCACCTTATTTAGCAACTAGGTACCTTGAGAACACGAGGAAAGAGCTAGTGAGTGAAGAAGGGCGTGGTTTAAACAATGGCGCCTCACATTGTCGGAAAAAGTTTGAGTGCAGTTGAATGCTTTGACTAAAATGAAAAAAGTTGCTATAGTACTGTTGCTTTAAAACAGTACTTCATAATCAAATGACATTTTTGTCTTAAAATACTGCAAAAAGTGCTTTATTTTTGCTGGTACGGCATTTGCGTGACTTTTCCGGAATAGGGGTGTCCGGCGATGTGCCGTTTTTTCTATTTGTAAACTTTGTAAACAAAACGAGAAGTTTCAAAACTAAGCATCATAAACAAGTAAGCTATAAGATACCTTGTGGTAATCAAAGCTAAGTTTGCTGTTAGGTAGCAGAGCTGCATGAGTGTCCGAGAATGAGTGGTGTCCGAAAATGCTATTATTACTCTATATGATTATACCTCTATTGGTTATTGTAATATATTTCATTATTGACTGCTCGTATCCAATTGGAAGCAAGTTGCGGATCAGTAGAGAGAGTCTATTGGTGGTGCTATCATGCCATGGATTATGAAGCTTCATTGAAATCATTGGCATATTTGATGTATCTGGTATATGTCCTTCATATATTGTTTTTAATGATTCATTAAGATGCTTAACTTGAGCTGAAAACCGAAGTTGATCAGCTTTATCTTTATACTTCTTTAACTCACTAACAATGCTTAACTCATCATCTCCAAATTTGAAGCTTTGTAGAAAAATTTGACTCATATCCACTATCAGATGACAATCAATAAAATCATAAAATGGATGAATAATTTTGAAAGTTTCATTTAATGATGCATTTGTTAGTTTATCATTCCAATGCATGTAAGTCTCCAACCATATGGTAAGGCTGTGCAATATGTAAGGATCATTCTTGGTTTTCTTCTCAAGACCTAGCTGTACATGCATAATTAAACTGGAGAATTCTTCATGGAGAGCAACTAAAGTATCTACTATTTCCTTTTCAGCTTCAGCTGTTTCAAACATTATAACTGCTTGTGGTGGTCTTGTATTTGCAGCAGCATAACTGTTAGCTGATACTGGTGTGCTTTCTTGTAAGTTTCTTTTAATGCATTGTACGAATCTGTTGTTTCCTCTTGTCTTGTTTAGTGCATTAATCACATCAGCCCATGTTGCTTTAGGTGCTATGTGCAGCCATTTTGAGTACAATGCTAACTTTCGTTCATCAATTAATGCATTTTCTGCTTCAATCTTTGAAATTTCTGAATATTTAATTCCTGGTAAGCCAAGACCAAATGGTTTCCAGTCATCAAGTGGTTCAAGCCATTGAATTAATAATGAAATATCAGGTCGGTCATCAATCATCGGACCAGGATTGAGTTCAACATCTCCTGATAACAGGAGGAGCATACGTAGACAAACAATCAAATAGAGATCATTGTAAATCAGGTTAGAACTGCTGCCTCCAGGTAAGACTACTGACTGGAGGTAATTTGTATCAGTAACAGTAACACCGGTAGTACATTGTACTTGGTAGCAGTTACCTAATAATAAAATACCAGTAAATATACAAGTACAAAGTTGCAATTGTTGTTTACCTGTTGGAGGAATCATCAAGATGTGTCTTAATAAAGAGAGAAAAAGAAGAGAAACAATAAGAGACAGAGTTGCTGGCAGTTTAGATGTCTTCTCTCCTGATGTAGTACTGCCTGACTTGCTGTCTACTGCAGCTTTGAATGAGTGAGAGTGGCGGCCATTAGCTGGTCTACTGGAGGCAGCTTGACAGTAGTTCCACAGTCCAATACTTGCTCTCCATTGAGAGACATCAATCATCTTTAAATTCTTGTAGACTCAGTAGTGTAGTAAGGGCACAGGAAGTAGATCTTTAGAGTTTATTGTTACAGTAAGAGGAGGGAAGAGTTTATATAGTACATACCTATCAAATTTCAATACCTCTCCCCCTCACTGTAGCATGTGAACTTGTCATTATTTCCTTCTCTTCCGTCACAATTATATACTTAATCCTAGCACTGAAGTCTTACTTAGCAGCTAGTATACATATATACTGTCATCATTACATGTAAATGTTGAATTTTATAACGTTATTGACAACAACTGAGTACAATAGTATTATGTACATGTATTTGCTTGTCATAAGGAAGAAACAGAGTGAATGAGAGATGGGAACTTGGGAAGGAGAGGGAGGGAAAGGGAGGAAGAGAGAGGGTGAGCCATAAAGGATAGATTGACATCAGTATGTAAACTAAGTACTTGACTCTGACAGTAACATAGCTATAGTGATAGAAAGGGGAGGAAATGTGATATCTACTTGTCTACCATTATATGTACACAGTTCCCAGTAAAGAGTGAGTGGATAGTTTGTATAATGTTATCATATACCATCATGTACACTATTGCTCCACCTCTTTATATCCAACTATATGACCATGCACCAGTTTTGTCTTGAAAACTGTTAAAAGCATTTAACTTACTAGTCACACTAAGTTATTATAAACTAATAATGAAAATATTGTTTTGTTCAGTATTTTGTAAACGTGTTCTGGTTTCCTATTCAGTTCATCTTCAGACCAGACGTACTTAGCAGCTGCATAAGTAGAGAAATCCTTCCAAGGGGCACAGCTAGCTTTATTCATGTCACTCTAATTCCTCTGGCTTCCCTAAAATAGCAGCCGCTTCCATTTCCCCTCCAAGTGCTTGTGTGACTGCTCTTGTGTTTCATCTTTGTATTGTTGGTCTCTAATAAGTAAAGAATGAATGTCTCTACTAGTTATACTCCATTAATAATACTTATACTTACAAGCTGAAGCAGTGGTACCACCTTCATTATGCTCATAGGCGGCTGCAGGATTTGACTACTAGTCGGGCATGGGTGTGGCACAGGAAATGGGTTGGGCGCGCGAAGCGCGCCGCGATTTTGGCCACACCCTCTTTTACGCACCCTTTTTAGCACAATTTTTTGGTAGCGAAGGTTATTGTAATAAAGTAGTGGGTGGTGTAGCTCCAACACTGACTTCTGTAGTGGTAATAGTACTAGTAGTAGTATTAGACTATTAGTAGAGGAAGTAGAAGAATAGGGTGATGGAGAATGAGCAACAATTGACTGTACATCAACTGTAGCTGTAAAAACTGTAGCTGTATCAACCACAAGAGTAGACTGAGACTCATGATCATCAACTCTCAGCAAGAAACTGATCTAAAGTAAGAATTATGAGATAATCTGTATTATTGACTTCTATACTGTACTTACTAGGTTCACTTCAGTTGTAAACTGTTGTTCCTTTTTAGCAGGCTTGTTCACAAAGGACATAGTGAAGCTAGTCCAGGCTTTTAGACATTGCAACTGACAAGAAAAGAACACTGAAATAGCACTAAATAATGAAATGATTATGCTTTCTAGTGTTGCTGTGGTGGCCCACTGTGATTGGCACCAAAGTCTTACCACCTCGAGCTCCTCCTTTATTTAGTCTCTCTTCTTCACCTTGTTATCAGCCTGCCATTTATGCATTCATAATTATAAGATTTTCATAAAAAATTGAAATTATAATTGCAATAACTGTTATTAACTATTAATTAACCACAGAATAATTATTAATTATGGTGATGTCACACTTCCGGTCAGAATTTTTGGTCGGGCATTGCCCCTAAATGCCCGACCCTGCAGCCGCCTATGATTATGCTTCTTAAAATCCTGTTATAAAATAACAATCAATGTTAATATTTAATGCAATGGTATTTACTGATTAACAATGTCTTTACATCACATTTTATTGAATGTAGCGTAGTTGGTTCGTATCACTTCAGTTATTATTCGTCTTAATTTATTAATATCAACTGATGGAGGGGGAGGAGCAACAGCAGGAGGACCTGTAATATAAGAAGACATTAATAATTATAGTGTCTCATATTTTGGTACTGTACTATAGTACAGGGTATTTCGTCAAAAATGACTAGGAGAGAATTCTCCATTTTTGGACATTTCCTGATGAATATACATGTTCTTATGTTGCATAGAAAGTTTAAGCTGATTCCAATCAAAATTGGATTTTTTACAAATTTTTTAATTTACTCAAAAACTGGGCCAAAGTCCCTGTACTATAGTACAGGGTCACGCCCGATTTTTGCCAAAATTAAAAAGGAGAGAATTCTCCATTTTTATTACATTTCCTGATGCATATACATGTACTTATGTTGTGTAGAAAGTTTGAGCTGATTCCGATCAAAATTGGATTTTTTACAAATTTTAAAAGTTGCTCCAAAATCGAGTAAAAGTCCCTGTACTATAGTACATTACATGAGGGAACTAAGCTCTTAACAAACATTCTTTAACAAAATAAACACAACACAGAAATTACTAGGTTTAGAAGTAAGATAATAATAATAGAATAAGTGATAGGAAAAAAATTAATAAGGCACAATGAATAAGTTAATTGAGGGTGAGATGAGCCTCCGAGACAGCTCTACAGAAGTCATATAGTACAGGGTCACACCCAAATTTTGCCAAAACTGAAAAGGAGAGAATTCTCCATTTTTGGAGATTTCCTGATGCATATACATGTTCGTATGTTGCATAGAAAGTTTAAGCTGATTCCGATCAAAATTGGATTTTTTACAAATTTTTAAATATACTCAAAAACTGGGCCAAAGTCCCTGTACTATAGTACAGGGGGGTCACGTCCAAATTTCACCAAAATTGAAAAGGAGAGAATTCTCCATTTTTATAATCTATTCTGATACATATACATGTCCTTATGTTGCATAAAAAGTTTAAGCTGATTCCGATCAAAATTAGATTTTTATGAATTTTTAAAGTTACTCAAAATTAGGCCAAATTTTGCCAAGATTGAAAATGTGAGAATTTTCAATTTTTATTACATTTCCTAACACTGTACATGCCATATATTTCATGTGTATAAAATTTTGCAATTTGGCTGCATTTTTGTATTCATGAATAAAAATTTTGCAATTTTAATGTAATTACCACACCTACTATACAATCAGCACATTATTTTGCGGATTTTTATTTGACGAATTTTTCTAAAATGCGAAAATCGCGAAATTTAATGACCACAAAATACATGGCGTATATGGTACATTATACATGTCATCAAGAGTTAAAATTGTATTTAAGTTGCTCCAATAATCCTCCCTCCCTTTAATGTCTCACTTTTAATTTCAAATACTTTTCCTTTCCTCAGTCTCTCTTCAATGTCAGCTGCTAGTGCATTCTCTTTCAGCCTCTTAAGAGCACTAATGACATCAGTCCATGTACCAGGTGGATATACCCCAGTCCATTTAGTCCACAGTCCCATCTTCCTACTCTCCACTCCAGTCTTGTCCTCTTCAATCTTATCAATGTCCTTTTGTTTTATTCCTGGTAAGTACAGTCCAAAGGTTTGCCATTTTGTTAATGGTTCCAGCCATTCAGCCCACAGGTCTTCTCTAGGACTGGAATCAAGAGGAGAAGGTGGGGTTGAAAAGGAGGCCATTTTGTGTTGTGAAGTGTGTGGGTGTTGGGGACTTCCCCTGTTGAGGCTGTTAGATACATGTACATGTGATCTGATGTTTTAAACTTTATTGCTTTCACACCCACAAACTTCATGGAATTAAATCATGACATATCAGACTCATTGCAAAATCAATATCATTCATCAATAACAATATTAAAATCACTATTTTCAAGTTTATTTCTAATAGCTTCAATCCAGTCCTTGTGTAAAGCAATTGCTGCATAAGCAAAACTGCCACTAACTTCGACGAATGAGTTTAAGAACTTTTTACAGTGCTCCTGCACTTGAGACAACTCCCTCTGGAAAGTAAGACTAGCCTGGAACTCTGAAATGATTTTGTCTATTGAAGGATTTCCTCTCACAACTTTATTGATTAAACAAAGAGTAAATAATTTATTTGCAAGTTCAGGGACTGCTTCCATTGGTAGTGAAGTAAGATCAGCATAATGAGATTGAAGAATGTCATTGATCACTTTCTTTATTTTTTTGACATCAACAGTAGCTGATAATAGAGGTCAAAGGTCATGTACACACAGTATTATCACTTACTAGCTCCTCCAATGGATGATACTGACATTGATTCATGTACTACATTAGAGGAGGAGGTAGTAGGATCTGATTAATATTAAATAAATAAACAATTTAAATGATAATTATTATCTATTACTTGTTGAAGGAGGAGGAGGATTTCTTCGTGCCCTATGAATGATTAATGTAACTGGGTTAACTACTCCTACTAGCGGTACAGAGTAATTAAGAAAAGGGACAGCATCAGGTGATCCGTAAACTGATATAAGACAACATGAAGGATAACAATATTGTTTATCACCAAATTTATCAATGTCCTCTTGATATAGCTGTAACATATATGACCTTATAAAATATGAATTAATACAAGCTTACTCTGCTAGGTTTAGTGTGTGGTTTAACTATCCAGCCTGTAGTTGGTTCATCCTGATATGCATTAAAGTTTAATTCAATATAACGTTCATAAGGAAACTTAAAACAAAAGGAAATATTTGGTCCAATCTCAGCTTCAGAGTATTTCCGCTCAACAAACTATCAAATAAATGAAATAATAATCAACACATTATACAGTATCTAATGCTTTCTTACTTGAGTGAGTGCCTCCAATTCTTTAGCTGCAGTGAATATCACTAAATCTTCTACTCCTTTCTCCCTATAATAAATCAGTCCAGCATATTTCATATTTTTTCTTACATCAGTATAAACTATGCCTATAAACAGTAAAGCACATTAAAATTGATTACTTTAATATGCATGCTTACTAGTCTCAGTACAAAGCACAGCTTTGCTAACAGTTTCTGTTTCTACATGCACAGGATCTTGTTGTTCTTCCTCTTGTCCTCTGCCTCCTTCCTGATAATCTCCTCCTTCTTCTTTATGCCATCCTTCTTGTGATTCTTCTTGTTGCGGTTGTTCTTCTTGTTGTTGCTGTCCTTCTTGTGATTTATCTTCTTCCTCTTGTTGTCCCTCTTGCTGTCCCTCCTCTCCTTGTTGCCCATTGGTTTGTTCATTAGCTCCTGGTTGCTGTTGCTGGACTAGTACTGTCAGTACTCCTCCTCCTTGTTGCTGTTGAGCTGGTACTACACCTGCTCCTTGTCCTTGAGGTTGCTGCTGCTGACCTCCTCCTCCTCCTTCTCCATCATCTCCTGCTATTAAAAATCCCAGTATGCATACCAAACAGAACTCTTTACGCTCAATGGATCCATACCCACTATTAGAGCTAAACTTACCTCCCTCAACTATTGAGAACTGGTAAGGAAGACTGGGTGTACTCATGGGAGCTATAGCAAACTTGAGATAACGACTAAGACCTGGTTGTCCTGTTAAATCAACGCAGTGCTGTATCTCTAACTTGAGTCGTTTGAGGAGAGGCTTTAAGAGTGATACTGCATACACAGCACTCACTAGGACAGTATTAGGAGGAAACTGAAACTGTCCTCCTACAAGAGCAACCACTGCTGCTTCTACTGTCTCAGAGGACAGTAAGCTCTCTTTCTGTACTCCGATCCTTAGACCATAATCCTCCCAATTCATCAGTTGAGGTTTGTCTCCTTGAATTAAGAACAGCTTCTTCTCTGCTACTTGGACAGAACTCAGACAATCCAATTTATCTATCAATACAAAACAATTATGATACATGTACATTGTGTACACAATAATACTCTTACCCATTGATGGGATCAGGTAATTAAATTGTAGTCCAATGGAACTAGTCTCTTTGATGGATTGTTCCTCTAAGGATGTGACTCTCTCCTGTAGTTGTGACTTCTCCTTCATTAGTTTAGCTATGTACAATTCATTATCAGACACTTTAGCTCTAAGGTCTAATAGAATATTAGTAATTATTGCTAATTGATAATGATATACTGGTACTAACCAGTAATGATCTGTTTCTCATTCTGTGATTGTTCCTCTACTTGTGATGTCAGTTTGGCTATAACTTTTTCTTTTTCAGAAATTTCAGTTTTTAGATTTTGATTGTCGTCTGCATAATAAACATAACCTCATCTAATACATGCTGTGTGGATATTTAACTAACCATTATTGACAACTTTAGTTTTAAGCTTCTCATAATCTTCTACATTAATAGAATATTCTTTCATCTAATATTATGTACTGATGAATGATGATACACTAACCAGTAATAATTTGTTTCTCTTCAGCCAACTCTTGCAGTTGTGTCATCTCTCCTAATTTACTATCATTACTACGGCCATGACCTAAAAAAAACATAATCAGTACATAATATTATAACAGTTGTACATATAGAATAGATGCACTGGTCAGATGAAGCACCATC